GCCACATTATTGACCCGAAAGTACACAAAAAGCACACTTCGACGTTCAGGGTCCTTGACATGCATCACGGGTTGAAATGTTACCGATGGCAGCTATCGTTGTTTTAACTATAATTAGGAATATAAGAGGTTTATTTCTCATTCACATCAATGGAAAGGCTCTCCTTTCACTGATCACTGCACATCTCCATGGTAACCTTTGATCTCTGCACACAGGAGTTTGATAACGTCGTCACCATGGTAACCTTTGATCTCTGGGCTCACACACAGGTGTTTGATGACGTCGTCACCTCAAACACAAACACAGAGCGCGTTTCTCAATGTTGAGGAAGACTGCTCCAGAGCCACTATTTCAAGCATACTACGTCATCGAGTGCCACCGAAGGGCTGTTCCAATGTCAAGCATACTTGGAATTCTACCGAGGCTGGCGTACTTCGTAGCGGGAAATTTTGAGGCTGCACATGTGTAGACTCCGCGGTCTTAAAATCCCCAAAATGCTTTGCGCACGGACCAATTTCCAAATCTTTGGCGGAAATCGCGCTCCATTTAAGGCGGGGCCATATGACGCACACCTGCACACCTGTTAGCCTGTTCCACAATTCTTCGTTTTCCGAGGCTAGGAAGGATTCTTGCCTCGCTTCTGAAGCAACTGACTCGGAAGACATGTGCTACCAAGCAAGCGTCCTCGACATTGAGAAACACCCACAGACTGGAGTTTAACATACTGTCTCAGCCTATTCTTTTCTGTCTGATGAAGACTTCATACTGACTTCAACATGTTCCACATATTTTATACATTATTGGTGGCGTATGGTTTTAGTCCAAAAGTTTGCAGTTAAAATATTCTGCTGCTCTTCAAAGCGTTTTTACTTTCTTTTCTCTTCTTAATACACATTCATTCACTACTACGTACATCTGATATCTAACTCCTTCAGCCTACTTTCAGCTACAGAAACCATTCAGCTATTAAATTATTCAGCTATTTCAGGACATTGAAGCTGTTGTTTATACCTTTTTCAAACCTTTTCTTTTAAATATTAAGCTTCTTTACTATTTTTCCTACTCTTCCAGTTTAACATTTACTTAAAGTTGAACTTACTTGGTTTTTGTAGCTAAAAGTATCTACAGAGACCCTTCAACTAATACAATATAAAGCTTTTTCTGCATTTTCTGCTAAATTCAGCAACAAATGTACACAGTTTACAGCATTCACACGCATTTTCTGCAGGAAATGCATTTCTAGTTTCCAGGTTCATGTTTGTGTTGTATGCCTGTACTGTGACATGTCTCCATGCTGTAATGTTCAAAAAGGTCTTGAATATGAGATTCAGTCATATTTTATTTGACTTGAAATGGTGTTTCAAATTGTGCCTGTTCTATCTGACTTAAAATGTAAGACATTGTTGTGAAGAGATAACTGGCTGCACCAAACTGTTTTGGTCTTGTTTTATTTTATTTGCAATGTAGGCCTCATAATGCTAGCTATAAGGCTAATTTTATTTAGGTTGGTTTCCATACAAATGCCACACTTTGTTGTATGTTAAAGTACATGGTGTTGATTTTATTTCATTGACATATGGGTGGGCCACTTTATGCAATTTAGACATTATGAAGTGTGGACCTTTGCTGGGAGGAAATATGAGGGTTAGGGTTATTGGACCTCTTTAAAGTGTCAGACGGTGAATCCTGAGACGGACAGATACAGGAATACTACCTTTTGATTCCACTGGATTTTTTTTTCTGACCTCTGCTAGAAAGGTGAAATGATTCAGAGGAAGTGAAAGTCAGTTGCAGCGAGGAGACACTCAGTCCCGGAGTGGACCCTTCCGTGCCATGTTCACAGAGGCACGTCACAGGCTATTTGTCATCGTAAGCGCGTGTGTGTGAGCGTGTGTTGAGGGAGGGGATCGCTGAGAAATGGTCACATCTTAATTCCTGCAGTGATCCATTGGCCCTATTTTGTTGGCCCAACAGCATGTGCCACTGGAATTGTGTTGCTTTGTACTGTATGTATACTTAATCCATACTTAGACCCCTGCTTTGAATAAGAAAAAACTCAAAATATCCTTAATGGAGCAAAAAAGGAGGAACCTCAGGAAGAGCCTGAGAGGAATGGTTATTATAAACATATAACAATAGTATATTTGAAGTATGGAAATCCGAGGAACTATATTTCTGTATTTAGATAGTTGCTGCCTAAACCGGTTGGATAAATAGATGAGGAAATCCTTTAAACATGGGAGAAGAGACAAGGACAGTGTTTGCACATAAGGACAAGAGGAAATAAGGTCGAAAAGGTCACTTTTTTTGTACACTTAAAAGCTTCAGGCTCAAGGTAAAAAGAGGTACATTTGGGGCCCAATGTGCACTTCTGATGCATTAGTGCATGATGGAAATGTGAGTGATGTGTAACTATTTAGGATTCTCAAAATATGTTATCGGTATATTTGTTAAAGAGGACATATTCAAAAAGAAATGTCCAGGTTCATATCAGTATTCTGTGCCTCTAATTTAATGTTCAAAAAGCTCTTTATTTTTCTCTTACTGCCTGTGCTGCAGCACCTCTTTTCACCCTCTGTCTGAAACCAGAGCCCAGTCTGCTCTGATTGGTTAGCTGGCCGGCTCGGTTGTGATTGGTTACATGGTTCTGTTATGATTGGTCAACCGATTACAGATTTCCCACCCCTTAGCCCAGGGCCAACTTGAGGCCCCACGCAAAGTTATATGATGGGAGGGGGTGCTAGTGGAGGCCCCCTCCGTAAGATGAGGTCCCCTCCGCAAGATGAGGCCCCACGCAGTCTTCGTGATCGGCCTGTTGGGAGGGACGGCCCTGCCTTAGCCTATCACGCACAATGTGTTGGAGCGTTAGCCAATAGGAGCGCGAGTGTTACATGTTACATAGTGATCTCATTAGGTTGTAATGTAATGTAAACAAAGGAGTCTAATGAAGAGGTTTCAGGCAGGAGGTGAATGTGTAGGAAACTTGCCTTTGCAGACCATTTACATGCACAAAGATCTTTAAAGTGGCATTAATGCTGAACTTAAGGTATTTGACATGTGGCTGCTCTTGGATTATTTCTGACATAAGAGCGAGTTTTCTTTCGTAGAATGGTGGCACATAGATCAAGTGTAATGAAGCATAGGCCCAGGGGATCAATACACCCTAGTGTGAGGTAATAGCGCGCACACACACACACACACACACACACACACACACACACACACACACACACACACACACACACACACACTGATCTCTCCTTCCTTCCAGAGAGGAAATGTTCAGACCATAAATATTTGGAGTTGGCTAATTGAAAGAATCTGTGCAGCTTCAATTCTGGGGGGTTCTTTAAACACTGCCCTCATATGGATTCTTTGTATAGTTATCTGTCCCTTTGTTCATTAGTGCCAAGTGAAATGAACTGAGGCTATAGTAAACATAAAGACAGAAAGACGCACACATTCAGGGACACTGACACACACAGGTTAGGTTTGTCTGCCTCTGGCATTGTGTGTTTGATAGTCTGTTGTTTCCTTTTGTTTTGCTTGTGATCCTGCCTTCCGACCGGCAGGTTTGTGACACGCAACACAGAGCGGACGTGCTTTCATGCAGGCGAATGCAAGCTGTCCACTGGGAGAAGAGCAGACTGCTAGGAAATTCAACTGAAAAAATGTTTGCATGTCACCGTGTTTGCATTCGGGATTAAAAATTCAGGAACATAGGTGTTTTTTTAGTGCACACACACATGTCTAGCTGTTTTTTTAGACTGCTCTGCTGCAGCCTAGAGAGGAAACACTGAGTAAGGGAGACTATAGTATGATACATAAGTAAGCTTTATAGAAATCAAATTAAGTTTATACAAATACAAATGCAACCATAAGATATAATGGAGATATGTGAAATGGGTCACCCCGATTAGCTTGCCAAAGCTTTATAATAGGGGCCTAGACACTAAACAGAAAATATCTATAATATATATATATATATATAACTAACACTTCTAGAGTTGGAGAGAGTTCATGCATTATTAGAAACATTTACAAGCTAAGGAAAACTAAAAAACCTAATCCTAGCGCTAAAAACTAAATCAAATATACCCTGTGGTCCGAAAACCTTCTAAACATTGGTTTAAAATGGGTAATATTTCAAACCAATCTTCAAAAGCAGTCAGACAACAGTTTCAGGAGAACTGAAACAATAGACTTGTAGACTGAGAGAACAGGCAGCTTTAGTGACACCCCTGTAAAGTGCTGAGGCTCTCTCAGTGGGCCGCCTGCGTGTTCTGTGTGGGTTTCACTTTGTGTGCAGCCCATTTAGCCTCTGACTGTAACACGTATAGCGTGATGTGTTTTTAAGCCCCTCCACTTAACATGCTAGACTGATTGTTCAACTATTGCAGCACGAGCTGTAGCTGATAAGTTATGCATTGCAGCGCAGATGGGAGACGTGTCTGTGTGAAATGACATGTGACAAGGTGGATTTTTGGATCACATTCTATGCGTGCAGGAATCCCCCTTTCTTCTTATTTTCCTGCCTCTCAGATGGACCTTAAACACACCAAATCTCATCTCGTGGTCTTAATGCCTCACGGTATGCTCCCTGGGGGCTGGGGACATGTCTCATACCTGACTAAAATACAAACCTTATAGGGTCTTCTGTAAATATAGTAGCTACTATCATTTCACTGCAGGCTTATGTTTTATTGTGTAGGAGGATGTTTAATACACTAAAATACATATACCGAAACATATTATCTGCCACAAGCATTTCTAATTCACCATCCCAACATTACTCTGTGCATAAATTACTATATATGCATTATTCTGTATACTCTTTGTCTAAATGAGTTCATTTACTGAAAAGGAAAAGCTGCTATTTGTAGATTGTGACTCATAATGTTGCACCGTTGCAAAACAGAATTAAAGTGCAGGTTAATTTATTACTTTAGTTACTCAGTGTGCATACGTTTGACTTCACTGTGAGAAAATCAGTCTGAGTGTCACACACCCAGGAGACTCACGATTGAAGGTTTTCTGGACTCACTTGATGCTGCAAAGGCCTATCATGGAGACCAACCAGGCCAGACATCCTGCACATTCAGACAGTTTGCAGTACAACAAGAAGTCTGGAGTCTTCCTGCTGTTCTCTGGAGTTTCCCTCGGCCTTGCGGGTGCCACTTTAACCACCATGGGCTGGTATCACTACCCAGAAAACTCCAACTTTGGGTGGAACACATTTCTAGGACCCATCCTGATCTCCATCGGAGGCACCGTCATGCTAATCAGCTTCTACAGGTTTGGGGTGGTCTCCTGCGGGCCCTGCCGACAGCTGGGTGAAGGAGCGCCTGCCATGGATCAAACATCAATAGGACCTTCGATCATTTTAAGTGGTATAAATCCACCAATCATGTTACACAATGCCACAGCAATGTTTCATCTTCCACCTCCGTATGACTTTATAAACCGGGAAGTACACCAGGCCGCTGGGTTCCAGTCTGGCCGGTGTGTGAGTGGCGCCGGGTTCTGTGTGGATAATGCAGCATTCACAGCAGAAGAAGAAGAAGAAACAGAGCGCATGAGAAGCAGGTATAAAACACTGCTTAAATACATTGTTCAGACATTTGAGGAAGCACAAAACTTAAACAATCTGTACTTCCAGTTTGGGTACTTAAATGTGACTTTCAGTTTCATACTTCTATTTTGGTTACTAATATAACATTTTTCCCAATGCAATAATTTTCAAAAACACATTATTTTTCTAATACTGTCAGTCTTTCCTTTATTCACCCTCAGTCGAAATTTTTTAAAAGCCACATTGTTAGATGACGCATGTTCGCAAAGGTAGTTTTCAAGCTGTTTGTGGAGAAGCTCGCATTAAGTAGCGGTATATTATACACCTGCATGTTTCCTAGGAAAAGGAAGCAAAATGTTATTGGCAGCCCCTAAAATACTAACTGGGTAGTCTTACTTCACAAAATGTGAGTTGTTAATCACTTGAAATACCCAAATGTGTGTGCATTGACACTGAAGAAAATGTGTTTTTTCATGAAATGTCCCCTTAAAACTGTTGATGAAGTTCTCTCAGCATGCAACAGCACTGAAGCAGCTAAAACTGGCAGAGGTAGAGAGTTAATCTTCAATCTTCAGTCAGATTTGTGCCTATAACTCACAGCTTCTCACAGTGCTCATTAAAACAGAGTGTGCCTGAGTTCATTTCTTATTAACCACAAGATCACTTTCCACTTGGCCCAAAGTGTTTTTGGCTGTCAAACCTCTGTCAATTATAGCGCAATGAATCTCTCTAGAAGTCAACACACGGATATTTGTATAAATCTTTATACTTCAAAATGTGTCAAAAAGTAATATAAGAAGGAAAGAAATGTTTTGCATATATAATGTGTTTAACACTTTCTTAGGCTTTTCATTAAACCAAATAAGGCCTGTGTCAATAAAATGAGGAGGATTAAAACCCAAATTGCTCCTCAAATTCTCTTTTAATCACCCTTGGCATCCAGTCTTACTAGCGGCATCCTCAAAATATGGCTTTCACTGAGTAAAATCAACGCTATAACGTCATATTAAAGGTATTTGACGGTGTATATAAAGCTAATTGGGGCATCATTAATCATATCTCCCCACCTGTTCAACAAAGTGCGGAGGGAATCATAACATGGCGAATTGGCATAAAAAAAATCTTTCTTCCACCAATTGCACGAACCAATTATTTGAAATCCAATCAAATATCCTTGGACAGGCTTTCTGCTCAACACAAAGCTGCTTTTCATTAGTGGAAAGTTGCAAGTTTTCACTTTCTTTTATTGTTTTTAGGCGATTACTCCCAGCAGGTTTCCAGGAAAGTAATTCACTTTAATAAAAGCAGACAGCAGCAATAATACAGTTAACCTAGGATAACTTTAAACTGCTGCCCTGATCTTATGAACACATGCTCTGCTCACCAGCTCTCACTTAAGCTGTCACAACTTCTGACCTGTTTCTGTCTCTTTCCACTGCTTAATGCCACATACATAAGGTAGGAATTGCTCTGTGTTTTCTTTTAAAGGGGCAATCTGCTTCCTAATGTGCGCTTAAAGAATAACTAATTGGGGCTGGAAACACTTGGATATTAGCCAGTTCTTCTCTTTAATCTGTTCTGCCATGTTGTTTTATTCTTGTAGGATTGAGAAGACAGAGGAGGAAAGAAGACGTGGTGATGCTATGAGTTCACGTCCACCTCGATATGAAGACATCTACCCTTCCTTTTTTAAAACAACCTGAATTCTCCTAACTTGTTAGAAATGTCTTTCTTAGCTAAAAATCTTTATTTTTGACATGTTCATTTTAAAGGAAAACTCCAACCTCCCATGTATTTACCACAGCATGTGCAAGTAAGTGAGTGAGTAACTTAGGTTTTACTTCCCTCACACAGCTGTTATCATGTACAGTTACCATCATAATTATGTATGAAGTCATACAAAATGAGGCTCCCTGGAAGAAAACCTCATTAAAATTGAGATTTATGGACAAGCAGCTTCATGTGAGGGCTCTAAGGTTCTGGAAACGTATATATATTTGGCAAAAAACATCACATTTTGTATCCAGTGCTTGTTGTCTCTCAATAGCTGCTGACAACACTGTACAACCATTTCATATTGGCAGAGAAAATAAAGAAAGCAATTGTTGCCTGAAACCAGGACAATTGACCAGATACGTAAAAAGATTAACCATTATTATACTGGGAGAGAATTAACATTAAAAGAGAAAAAAATGTCATGTTTGTTTGTGGATTTAAAAACATCACGAAAGTTAAAAAAATCTAAAAATGTCTTGATGGCAGGCTCTCTTACCACTACTACAAATACTACAAATACTACTACTACTACTACTTATACTTATAGGCTACTAATAAGAGTAATCCTAATAGGTGATGATAAGGACAGTAATCTACTCAATGAAGCTAAAGTGTCCACATTTCCCCTTCTCCCTGCAGGGTCATGTAACAGTTTAATGAAGCGTTCACTGTCGTTTGTGTTTGCAGGATAAACACACTGTAAGGTTCACTGCACCACACGGGGGCAGAAACACTGAGGAAATCTGAACACCTTCACTTACCGGCTCAGGTCAGGTGGTGTTACCGGGACTATTCAAGTATGCTATAATGCATAGCCTATTAATTATGATAATAAGAACAATTAAATTAAATTTCGTTTTGAAAAAACAACATTAGGCTACCTGAAACCATTCTTAGAAAGTGCCTGCCCATCACTAAATGGCACATTTCGTATCCGTCGCAAATAACTTGAATTTTCCAGTTTTATTCGACTTGTGCTTATTAGGCCTATATCTTTATTTTTTACAATTTATTGTAAAAACCTCTTTCGCTTCTATAATGTAGGCTACAGAACTTTCAATGGACTTTTTGTTGAAAGGTCTTAAATAAACACGCCTTGCTTAAAACAGTCCGTGTTAATGATTAATGAATGACGTCATTGCTCCCGGTGTTTACACACTTTTTTCCACTGAGTAACTGTTGGTTATTACAATTAAATCAATTGCACAATTCATAATTTGTGTAAAAATAAAGCATAAAAAAGCCTATTTTTTATGTGTTATCTTTATTTTGTGTATGTTTGTATACTTACATCTATTTCTTTTTTGTAGTTCTTTTTAATGTGTAATCTTTGGGACAACGAAACGCACTTCGGTCTCCCTGTTTGTAACACGATTAGAGATATTGATAATAAAGTTGACTTTGACTAAAAACTCGTCTCATTCATGTGTTTATGAATGAACAGCTAAATTATTTTACAGCATTCAATAATTACATAATTTAATTGTGATCGAATCAGGAAACTTTTGGGGATTCTCTGAAAGTTGATTTAAAGTTAATGTATGTAGTTAAAAGTTATTGTAATGGATACGTGCCAAACAGTTGATGATATATAGATTAAATATCAAATATTTGATATATCTTTTATAAATAGATTCAATTTATAGATGTGAATATTATCTTTTGACATTGGTGATATATTTGTACAAAGAAGTGTTGTGTTTTCTGTATTTCTGTCATTATTATTTTTACCACAAATTGAAAATCATCAGTAGAAAATGCTTTAACTAATTTATTAAACTCTTGATTTGGACAAAGATGATATGTAACTGTGCTCAGCTCGGTAAATATTGAATCCATAACAACAAATATATTTGACAAAATATGGTCAAATCCCCCCCATTTTAACTGCCGGGCTCCGCTCCAAAAAAGCATGCACTGTCCAAATAACTTTCCAAAAATTCACATCAATTTATAAAACATCTCCGGGCCTCCTCAACACGTGTGCCGTGTTCCTGCAGATCTGAGACCGCAGCGCAATATGACTTTCATTATTTTTACAGCACAGTAAAATGCGGGTGGGCGACAGGGCCATTATTTCACCATCCTGCAGCATGGAGGCGATTTATGAAAGTATTACGGAGCATGTTGAACGATCACAACTCTGAAACAAAAAAGAGGGGGAAAAGTGGGAAAGAAAATCGCCCAAAAAGTACAATAATGTGTGTTATTTCAAGCCGGAGGAAAAAACGACTAATTCTTTGTTGAAAGTGTTGTACTTTTTAAAAACATATTTGGCATCCTAGATTAATCTTTAAAACTATGTTTAATCAAATAATAAATAAATAAAATCCTAAGTTTATTATAGCCTTGAAACTCTCTCAGAAGGCAACAGGTGTTTTCCTTCCGTTATGCATCCCTGCTGGACTTGAACAAACTCTCCTCACTCACAGTGTGTGTTTTTTTGTCACGTGTTTTCCAGGATGAGCGTGCTTTGTGGGACCACTAAAGTGGTTTGATTGTGAAGGAGGGCCCGAGCTGGAGGCCCTCTCTCTGAACCGCATGTGCTCAGCTAAACATTTGTGGACGGATTTGGAATACATCTGAGATGGTATTTTCCTTTTGAAATAAAAAAAATACCAGAGGCTCAGATAATCCCTGGAAATCATGATTAGAGTAATTAGCAGTGACCTTTCTCTGTGCTGACAGAGTGGACAGAGCCTTTGTGTTTGCATTGTTGCACCATATGGCCGGTGCTATAAGACTGAGGCTGTGGAACTCACAAACAGCTGAAGTTGGTGTTGGACAGTAACCTGAGCTCATTGTCTGAGGATATTCTGTTGTAACACTGCGCTCAACAAGGGGCTTTGTTTTGACTGACAAAAAGCTACAAAATAAAGCTGCGGTGTAGAAAAATGCACAAAGGAAATGTTTAGTCAGTTCAGTTTGAGCAATTTAACAGCTTTCCAATTAGCATACACATACATATTCATGTGACCTTTTAAAACTAATTTTATGTGGCTTTAACCAGCATTAAATCATATTATGTCACTGTTAATCTGACTGATCATCTTTTTAAACTGAGTGAAATCTTCAAACCTCAATTATTCCCTGTTTTTATTTGTTCAATATTCCAAGAAGAAATATATATAAATAAATATACAAATACTGCTCACACATTTGCTATCATTGTAATCTTTTTTTTACCTAGAATGTGCATGTAGACCATGTCATTAGTGTAAAAAAGATTTTTTCTTAAGGGGTTGCTTATTTCTTCATTGCGAATGTATGTAATTATCAGTAATGTATGTAAGTCAGTTGCTTTTATTTGCAATATGTAAGTGAGATTACAAAAAAAGTTTGAACAGTGGCTCCCTGCATGCTGCAAAATGTGCATACATGTTTTAAACTGATAGAGCTTAAAGAGGTGACACTAACATTTTCTCAAAAAGAAACAAAGATTGGAGAAAAGTCAGAAAAAAATATATATTGTATTAGCTGCATTTATTCATTTCTGTATATTTGGATTAAAAAAAAAATATTCATAAGTGGCTTACTTTCATTAATAACAAAATGAAAAATTCCTGAACACATCAAATCCACACTTTCTTTTAGAGGTCAAAATGGAAAATAGTTTTCTTGTACAGTGGACCAGCTCTTTCAATTTCACATGCATGTGTTGAATATCAAAGGAACACTTTCCAGTAAAGTGACATTAAAGAACTCAAGCCTCTGTCAGGACATTATTTTGATGGGGGGGCAGATCTGGCCAGCATCGCTCACATGTTCCTCTCGGTCCCTCGGGATTATTTTTAGCAGCTGAAAGTGGCTGTTTTCAAAATAAGTTCCTGAACGTATATCAAAAGATCCTAGTGCCACAGTGGTGGGCTCGCTCTGTGCCTGCTTCCATTTCACTGTGTGTGTGTGTGTGTGTGTGTGTGTGTGTGTGTGTGTGTGTGTGTGTGTGTGTGTGTGTGTGTGTGTGTGTGTGTGTGTGTGTGTGTGTGTGTAGTTCATCCCCCTATTAGCATGCAGGTAGAGTCTTGTGCTCGTGCCCGTGCCCGTGCCCGTGCCCGTGCGCGCCCACTGCAAATGTGCAGGTGCCAAGAAAAATTCATATTTTGCCGTAAAGACGGAGACATATTCACTGGACTGGAGAAGAGCCCCATTACTAATACTAATGCCCCTATTTATCGATCACCTTGATAGATTGCCCTTTTGCTCTCTCCCTCCCTCCCACACACACACACACACACACACACACACACACATACTGTACACACACACACACACACACACACACACACACACACACACACACACACACACACACACACACACACACACACACACACACACACACACACACACACACACACACACACACACACACACACACACACACACACACACACACACACACTACACACACACACACACACACACACACACACATACACACACACACACACACACACACACACACACACACACACACACACACACACACATACTGTACACACACACACACACACACACACACACACACTTTCTCTCTCTCTTTCTGCATTGTGCAATATAAACACTTTTTTGCAATTGTAGTGGGATAATCACTTTTATGTAAAACATACATTTCGTTAAATATCTAAAAACGTTTCTAATGTCTCGCCACCTAAATATGTTACTTATGTCACTTTTTTTGTTTTTATATTTAAAAAATAAATGCTGCTACGCATTTTTAGCCATGGTTGTGCACTTTTTTGTCTTCATATTGATTTTATTACTAATTACTGCGGGACTAATAAAGGAATTCTGATTCTCATACACACTTTGCAGATAGAGGCTATGAATGCCCCTGTTTCCAGGACTTATGTGGCAAAACTATCAGCAACAATTAGATCATTTTTCATCTTTGCATTGACTGTAAGCCAAGGATTATATGCATCCATGATAAAGTCATATCCCCCTCTGTCCCCCACCCCTCTAATAACTTCTCCCTCACATTTCTTTACGGCCAAACTCCCTCCCAGCTCACCTCAGGGAGCAGGTGTTCAGCTCATTCATGGAAATCTTAGCGGGGTCAGCTCCATGCGCTGCGTTATTGGAAATAACTATATGGTGTTATGAGGGCAACCGCAGTGGATTTAACTGTTTTCTGAGTGCAATTACATGTGTCCTCTGTAAGGGTCAGTGCTTTGTCACACCGCAGGAGGACATGTCATGTGGAAAAATACTTTAGAGATGATTACATATTTCATTTTGTACATGATAAGGGGCCCTCGTGAGAATTCTATATTACTTTAACAAGTATGAGGCTTTTAATGTGGGATATTATATGGTGGATTCATTGACAAATGCAGGCAAAGTTCCGGAGTTTGAAAAAATGTGTTTGTATCACACAATGAGCTTTCAGGATTATATAGGATTTAACATGAAGAAAATAAGTTAAGTGCATCGAATGATTTAAAAAATAATCTTATGCAAGCCATTTAGTGCACAAGCAAAACAATAAAAACCAACAAAAGCTAAAGTGAAAACTTTCAAGGAGTTTGTACTTCCTCAACTTTTAAACGTGTTCTCTTTGGTCTCAAATACGAAGCTGCCTCTTTAATGGACTTTTTATTTATTTCTATGAATCTCTAAAGTATATCTATAATGTTTTAACTCTTATCAAGTTCCTAATGATGTCAGTTGTCCAAGCATACATATATATTTACAATTTCAGTAATACAGATGTGTGTTGAAAGGATATTTTAGGGAATAAATCAGCCAACGATAAGTAAAATAGTCTTATGTGTATACTAAACCTGAAGTCGATTGGTTTTGTTTTTACTGCAGATAATGTGATAATGAATTTTTTTATATATATATATATTATGGGGGAAATCACATCTGATTACAGTTTGATTGAGCAGGGAAAGAAACTGCAACGCAAAGCAAATATTGAGAAATTATTAATGGTTGGTTTATTGACTGTGTGAATGGTGATTAATCAGAGATTTACTCAAAGTCCCCAGATGGTGAAAGGAGCTTTCCCGCTCGTATGATGTGAAGCTGAAGGGACAGAGTGTTACTTATTTGGCGGAGCGATGCCCCATAAGAATTACTCTCTGGCTCCCAGGTTTCCATTCCTCCCGTCAGCGAACGCAACAGTAAGTATAACATTTCACACTAACAGAAATTAGGGGCAAGGAGAAAAGTAAACATGGTAGAATTTGGGAGCAGGGTATTTTGGAAAAGAAATCCTGTGTTTGTATTAATATTTCACCTCTGGGAAAACTTCTGTCACTGACAATTTAAAAGGGCATGCGGCCAACATTATGTCAATTTGCAGTTACGGCGGTATTTATGACTTTATTGAATTAGGGCAGAAAGTCTGCGGTGGGTCGAAATGTTCGTGGTGGGA